ACATTCCAAGAGGGCTCCAAGTCGGCCCATAGAGGCCCCCCAACCGGCTTCCGACGGCGTCAGACGGACCAGGAGCCCACCAAGACGGCCGAACATGGCCATAAGATGGCTCAAGACGGCCCAAGATGCCTCCAAGAGGGCCTCCACGAAGGCCCGAAAAGGTCAAAATCATTGATTTACCATGGGCTTTTGAAGGATTGGGGCATTTGCTTTTTTTCTGCCCTCCGACGGCCCGAGACGGCCCAAGTGCCCCCAAAGATCGCCCAAGAGGCCCAAGACACTGCCCCAAGAGGCCCCCAAGACGGCCCAAGAGGTCTCCAAGACGCTCAAGATGGCCTCCAAGACGGCCCAAGAGCCCTCCAAGACGTCCTCCAAGAAGGCCCGAAAGGGTCAAAATGGCCTCCAGACGGCAAAGATGACCTTCAAGATGCCCACGTGTTCACCGAAGGCTTTCCAAACCGATTCGGGGAACACATGGTCCGATAGCTTGGCAGGTCTGGCCTCAACGTTCGGCCACATAGGCGCTTCCAAAAAGGCAGGGGGCGGCGGAGATTCCCCGTAGGCGTCTTCGATCCGCCGCCCCCTGGTGGCCTGTCACAAGGGCGCCTGGCGTACTGGATGTTTGGAGGTTTTTGGTTCTCGTAGAACTCCCCTTGGAGCCTCGGCCGATGCCGCCAGCCATCCGGAAGGCTGCGTTCGAGCTGGCTGCAAAGATTTGTGTTTCCTGGTCTAGGTGGCTCCAAGATGTCCCAAGATGGCCCCACCAAAGACAAGTTCGCCCGAGATGGTCCAGGATGGCCTCCAAGACAGGCCAAGAGAGTCCAAGATGTCTGCAAGTTCGCCCAAGAAGCCTTCAAGACGGCCAAAAACGGCCCCAGAAGCCCCCACAAGGACTCCAAGACGGCCCAAGAGGCCTCCAAGAGGTCTTCCAGGATGGCTGGACGAGGCCAACACCATGGATGTTCCGCAAGTTCGCGAAAGTGTTTGCCCTTTGCTTCTTTTCGGCCTTCCGACATCCCAAGACGGCCCAAGATGCCCCCAAGATCGCCCCAAGATGACCCTAAAGGCCTCCAAGATGACCCCATGACGCCCCAAGAAGCCTCCAAGACGGCCCCGAGAGGGCCGCAAGACGGCCCAAGAGGCCTCCAAGGCGCCCAAGATGGCTTCCAAGACGGCCCTGAAGCGCCCCAAGAGGTCCCCAAGTCGGTTCAAAGAGCCATCCAAGACGGCTTCCGACGGCGTCAGACGGACCAGGAACGCCCGAAGACGGCCCGAGAGGCCCCCAAGAAGCACCGCAAGGCCATCGAGAAGGCTTCCGACAGGCATCCGAGAGGCCCACAAGAAGCTCCCAGAAAGCCCCAAGAGTCCTTCTCCTCCTCCTCCTCCTCCTCCTCCTCCTCCTCCTCCTCCTCCTCCTCCTTCCTCCTCTATATGTGTCTTCCCTCTCCTCCGCTTCTTTCTCCCCCGCGTGTTCCCCGAAGGTTTCCGCGACGGCAGGGGAGCACATGCTCCGATAGCTTGGCAGAGCTCTGGCCACTACGTTCGGCCACATGGGCGATTCCAGAGGCAGGGGGCGGCGGTGATTCACCGCAGGCGTCTTCGATCCGCCGCCCACTGGTGATTCATCATAGGGGTGCACGGCGTGTCATACCATTTTCTGTTCAGGGGAACGTAAGACCTGGGTACAGGGGACTCGGAAATCCCCGACGAGATCGTCAAAAAAATGACGAGACCGAGCCTGCATTTTGACGAGGCCTCCCGCTGCAGACATCCCACGAAACGCCTCCTCGTCAAAATCCGAGGCGCGGTCGTCAAAAAACGATGGCGAACCCGAGTCCTGGCAAACCCGGGTCTTACGCTCCCCCGATCTGTGCTGCCTCCAAGAGCTACCAATGAGGTCTCGGCCCAACCCGCCGGCCACCCGGACAATATTCGTCGGTGCTTCCCCCGCCCAGGACGGCCACTGGATGGCCTCCCAGACAGCCAGGGTGGCCCGAGATGGCCGCCACGATGACTCCAAGGAGACGCCACGATGGCCTCCAAAACGGTCCCAAAGGCTTCGAAGACGGCCCAGACGGCCCCAAGACGCCCTCCAGACGGCTCAAACGGCGCCCCAGACGACCTAGCAGGGCTCCAAGAGGACCTCCGGGAGGGCAACATCGCTTCTGCTCCACATGTTCTAGCCGAAGGCTTCCGACGCTCCGAGACAGGTTCATAGGCCCCTAAGATCGCCCAAGACGGCGCAAGAGGCGCCCAAGAGGCGCACAAGACGGGCCAAGAAGGCTCCAAGACAGGCCAACAGGCCCCCAAGACGGCCCCACAGATCTCCAAGACGGCCCTAAAGCACCCAAAGAGGGACCCACGACTGCCCAGGGAGGGTCCAAGACGGCCTCTGAAAGCCAAGAGGCCCCTTAGACGCTCCTTCAGGGCTCCCAGAAGACCTCAGGAGGGCCAAACCATTGCTTTTCCATACGTTGTTCAATGATTAGAGCGTTCTCGCCTTTTCGGGTTTCCGACGCTCCAAGACGGGCCCTAGGTCCCCCAAATAGCCCCAAGACGGCCCAAAATGCCCCTTAATAAGATGCCCGCAAGACGGGCCAAGAGGGTCCCAAGACAGCCCAGAAGTCCCCAAGACGGCCCCAGAGACCTTCAAGACGGCCCTAAAGCGGGCCCCAAGACGGCATCCGAGGGCCAAGAGGTCCCAGAGAGGCCCCCAGAGGCTTCTGAGACGTCTCCGAAAGCCTCCAGAAGAACCCAAAGAGGCCCCAGAGAGCTCCAAAAAGCTTGCAGGAAGCCCACAGGAGGCCGCAAGAGGGCCTCAAGATGCATCCTCTTATTCTTCCTCCTCCTCCTCCGTTCCTCCTCCTTCTCCTCCCTCTCCTCCTCCTCCTCCTCCTCCTCCTCCTCCTCCTCCTCCTCCTCCTCCTGCTCCTGCTCCTCCTCCTCCTTTCTCTTGATCTCCCCAGTGTTCCCCGAAGGGGTTTCACAAGGGCTAGGGGAACGCTTGGGTCCAATAGCTTAGCCAGACTTCGGCACAACGTTTCGCCGCATCGGCGTTTCGAAAAGGCAGAAGGCAGCGCTGATTCGTCGCCTGTGTCTCCAAAACGCTCAGGATGGGTCGCTGGACCCCTTACGGGGTCTAAACGCACCAATTGTTCGAGCTGCGTTGAGTCCAGCCGTGGCGCACACCTCGAATCCGATCCTCGAGGTTCGAACCTTGAAGCTTCGTCCGACCCGACGATCCCGCAGCCCGCCTCCTTGTCCGGGACAGTGTCGGGGTCGTCGGTGTCCGCGCCCTCCTCCACTCCGTCTGGCGAGATCGAGCTCGCCGCGTCCACCTCTCCGGCTAGCGCCGGCGGCTCATCGGGCATCCTGGCGGTTTCGCGGGAGAAGAGCGCAATCCTGACATCTGCCCTCTGGTCCTGCAGGGGGGAGGCGTTTTCTCGGCGACGAGGCAAAGAAACGGGGGCAGGCCTTCGCAAAGGCGGCGGGGCTTCGGAAAAAGGCTTCGACAGCTTATGGGGCCAGAGGCCTTCAGACTCTTTTGAGAAGGCCTGCCCCCTCCGCCTTCCCCCCCGGGCGCGCCGCCGATTTTTCCTCAGACGAAATGTCGAGAGGCGAGCCGAGAACACACCAGATCGGACACCTGAAGACGCCCAACAGCACGCACGTCCAGGCGAGATGCTCAAGAGGATGCTGTTCGAGGAGCGCGCAGCCCCGCAAACCCTCGGAGAGGCAAGCCCCCCCCCGCACTTTGCAACAGACGGCGCCGGACACTGCGCTGCGCTGCGCTACGCTGCGCCATCTGGCTGCCTATGTAAGCTGCTCGAACTTGGCGGCCAATGCCTATGATGTGAATATCTAAACATATGCATGTTTGTGTATGTATGTATGCATGCGTGTATGTATGTATGCATGCATGCATGTATGTATTTATGCATGCATGTGTGCATGTCTGTATGTATGTATGCATGTATGTATGCATGTCTGTATGTATGTATGTATGTATACATGCATGCATGTACGTATGTATGATTGCATGTATGTATGTATGTGTGCATGTATACAGGTCTGTACGTATGTATGTATATATGTATATATATACGTACGTACGTACGTACGTACGTACGTACGTATGTATGTATGTATGTATCTATGTATGTATGTATGTATGTATGTATGTATGATGCATGTATGATGCATGTATGTATGTATGTATGTATGTATGTATGTGTGTACCTACATACACATATATATATATATGTATTCTGCGAAAGGAGAAAGACGAATAGGGAGAGGGAGGGAGGGAGGCAGGGAGGGAAGGAGGGAGGAGAGGACAGAACATCAAGAACATTGGCGGAGGAGGGGAACTCATCTCCGCCTCCCGCTCCTCCCGCTCCTCCTCCTCCTCCTCCTCCTCCCTCCCTCTTGTCCTCCTCTTCCTCCTCCTCCTCCTCCTCCTCCTTCTCCTTCTCCTCCTTCTCTTCCTCCTCCTCCTCCTCCTCAAACCAACCCAAACCCTCGTTTGCCTACCCCGCTCCGGCATCGTCCTCCTTATTCTCCTCCGCCGCCTCCGCAGGAGCACCTAGAAAGTCCAAGAGCCCTGTGACAAGCCCAAAACGCTCTCCCCCCCGCTCGTTGTTTCCTGCGAAGAATGAGAACCACATGCAAAATACACGGACCCCAACTGTGCTTACGTTTGCCAGAATACCGCTTGAACCACGCATCAAATAATGAGTTTAGCTTATGCACGATCGCAGTTTGTGATTGATGAGCATGTGCATCCAGAGATTGGCGGTCACGATACTTCCCCCATATTCATGTGCAGAACACGTTTATTCACGTAACAACTCAGGACATGTTTCGAGACACGAGCCGCACTTATATTCAGGGAGCTTCCACGAGCATTTATTACTCGTGAACAGTTTACACACGATGAAGCACTTGAAACCCATTCTTGAAAGACACGGCACATCCAAATTTTACCCAAGAGACGGGTCAAAGCCAAGAGGCGCATGTCACAAATTGTGGTTGGCTTCTCCCGAATTTGATGATCTTGCCGGCACGGCGTCTCCGAAGGAGACCATTGAGACGAACATGTGGTCATTGGAGTGTGAGATTCGTTTTGTGCTGCCGCACCCATGAAACTATCGTTTTGACATGCTAGTGTCAGCTTGCTGAGCGGAGGTTTGTTGTGTTTTTATCAAAACACCATCAGAACAATATCGCCGAACACGCAGATAGGGTAGTAATTTTTGTAAGCAGCATGCCGAAACGGCGAAAGGTGTTCAGGGCACAATTTTGAATGATTTCTTTGTTTCACTAGTCGGCGTTGTGGTGTCCGCACGTGCCGAGAACTACGATGACGACTTACGGAACGCAAAACGTGCAAGTTTAAATTTCACAATGATGATCAGGAGCATGCACGACTTCAATTGATCAGAGCCCGTCTCACGCGCATGTGTTGCAGGGAATTGAGATTCGGGGAGAAGGCGACGAGTGGTGTGATCCAGAGCTCTGCAAATGCTCTAAATTTCGAAATACTTTCCTACATCGAATACTTGTCCGATCATAGCACGAGTAGCAGACTAAGCTCAAGCCTCTGGAAACTGGACGCCGGCGGTAAACCGTCAACCTGGTTATCGCTGGGGACCTCGTAGAACTCTTGCGTCGTCGAAGAAACTCTAGATAATATTGAGCAGCCTACCGACACATGTAGCATCTGTCACAATTTTCTGGGCTTGTATGAAACATGCAATATTGTATGACCTCCCACTATTTTGCGCAACCGGAGCAGATCATTCTCAATTCACGGGATTGCTTAAGAGCTCCATAGCGGGCCTGTCGTACGAGTTAAGTTGAGAAGCTGAATATTATGTAAACGTAACATTTGCATAAGTCCAAGATCGGTGCACTCGCCCTCCTGGCTTGGCCAGGGAGGAATATACCTCGACACCGATCCTGGGCCCACGATTGGCCTTGCCAGCGGGGCTGGTGTACGCGCATAATTCTCGTCGCCCGACCTGCACCTCTCTTGCTCCTCCGCTTTGGACGCCCGACTTACAGTCACCCCGTAGAGCAATGATGCGCGATAAGGATGCAAGGGCCTTGGAGACCCATTTCGAAGCTTCTCGAGCGGGGCGCGGCCATCGGAAGTGGCCGAGGATGGACCGAGGAGGCAAGGATGCGAGGGTACCCCTGGGAAGGTTGCCCATTACTACTATGCGGGTTGACTGTATCCGTGACAGCTGCGGTCAGGGACAACTCCAGCTCGGGCCCCCGAGGGAGCGAACCCGTAGCTACCCCTGGCTGCCCCCAGCCCCGATGATGCGGGAGTGTTGGACGCCCGAATGCTCCGGGACAGCTGCGGTCCAGGGTAACTCCAATTTGGGACCCCGAGGAGCGAACCCGTAGCTACCCCTGGCTGCCCCCAGCCCCGATGATGCGGGAGGGTTGGGCGCCCGAATTCTCCAGGACAGCTGCGGTCCGGGGCAACTCTGCTTTGGTCACAGGCGCGAACCTGCAGCTACCCTTGACCACCCCCGGCCGAGATGCTTCGGACCTCTGACCTCCTGCGGCGACGGAGCTCTGACCCCCTGGGGAGACGACGACGACGACGACGACGACGACAACGACGACGACGACGACGCCGAAGACGCTCGACGTTCGACGTTCGACGTTCGACGATTGAGAATGACGATCACGACGACGACGACGACGACGACGACGACGACGACGACGACGACGACGACGACGACGACGGCAACGCTAACGCCGTCGCCGCCGCCCCTCCTCCGACGGCCCCTCAGAAGGCCGCCCCGCACAGGCCGCCGCCGCCACAGCCGCCGCCGCCGCCGCGGGCGTTGTCGTCGCCCTCGTCGTCGTCCTCGACCGTTCGTCGTCGTCGCCGTCGCCGTCGTCGCCCTCGTCGTTGTCGTCTAACGTCGTCGTCGTCGCCGTCGTCGTCGTCGCCGTCGTCGTCGATCGTCGCCGTCGTCGTCCTGGAACGTCGAATGACGTCGCCGTCGTCGTCGTCGTCGTCGAACGTCGTCGTCTGCGTCGTCGTCGTCCTCGAACGTCGAACGTCGTCGTCGTCGCCGCCGTCGCCGTCGTCGTCGTCGAACGTCGTCGAACGTCGCCCTCGTCGCTGTCGTCGCCCTCGGAGGGCGCCCTTTTGGGCCCGCCCAGCGAGCGGGTCCTCTGCTCGCCCTCCCCCCGGGGCGCGGGCTCGGGCTGGCGCCAGGGCGGCCGGGGCGCCGAGGCCTCGGGCGCGCCGCGGACCGGAGGAGGGGGAGGAGGAGGAGGAGGAGGAGGAGGAGGAGGAGGAGGAGGAGGAGGAGGGGGAGGGGAGGAGGGGGAGGAGGAGGAGGAGGAGGAGGAGGAGGAGGAGGAGGAGGAGGAGGAGGAGGAGGAGGAGGAGGAGGAGGAGGAGGAGGAGGAGGAGGAGGAGAGGAGGGACGAGGAGGAGGAGGAGGAGGAGGAGGAGGAGGGGAGGAAAAGGAGGAGAGGAGGAGGAGGAGGGGGAGGAGGAGGGGGAGGAGGAGGACAGCGACCGGCGCCCTCGTCGCTGAAGGCACCGTCGAGGCGACGAGCGAGCAGCGGGCTTCCGAGCCTTCTGAGAAGGCCTTCTCCTTCTCACGTCCCCCCCTCGCTCGCCGCCGACTGGCAGGTGGTCATTCGTTTCCCGCGGTGGAGGCAGGCGCCGACATTGGTGGTGGCGTCGACCTCTGAGCCTCCCACAGAAGTCTTTGATGCCCACTGCCCGCCCGCCTTCTGAGAAGTTGTTTGTAAGCCTTCCCCGGGGGCACAAAAAACTTCTCGGAAGGCACGAGGGCTTCCGAGAAGTCCCGCCGCCTTCTCTGAGAAGTCCTTCTCCTTCTCACTTCCCCCCCCTTGCTCGCCACCGAACCAAGACACCCGCAGCCCAACCCGAAGACCCAACTGTCGGGTGGGGGGGGTACAAGCTCCTCACGTGTTTTTCAGTGTTCGCCGACGCTCCCCCCCACTCTGCGAATGGAGGGTAATTTGGGGCCTTATGGTTGGGTTGGGGTGGCTTGGCGGGCGAATTAAGACAAAGCCAGGACGAAACTACACTCGGGTACGGATAAATCGAGGACCTCCTAGATCCGGTGGCTCTGGAGGATGCCTCGGGCGCCGCGGCCTTCTCAGAGCGTATCGGAGCGCTCTGAGAGCGATCCGGAGCGCTCCGGGACGGACTCATCCTCGTCCGAGTGCCGTCCGAGAGACTGATCCCGATCTCAGCGACGGCGGCGCTTCGCGGTGGCCGACAAGCTACTACCACCCTCGCCGGGGGCGCCCCTGCCGCCACGGCCGGAGCTCCGCCTCGGGCAGGGTGCACCTGGGCGGGGCCCGGGCGAGGACACACCCGAGCGATCTGCGAAGGCCGCGGCGCCCGAGACGTCCTCCAGAGCCGCCGGACCTCGAAGGCTCTCGGTGGGACGCACATGGACATACTAATACTATATGTCCTCCTTGGAGGCGCGCGTCCGACCCGAACATATAGTATACCCATCTTGTAGTAGATCGTTTCCCGAGCGGTGTTGCCAGAAAGCGCCCGCCACGACGCATATACTATTAGATTTCTCGGTGCGCGCGTCGCCCCTGGGGGGGCGACGCACATATAGTAGAAGTATGTTGGGGTGTTGCCGACTCAGCTTTTCCTCACCCGATGGTACCCTCGTCCCGGCATCGCCCAGTGCCCGTTGCGTACTCTTCCGCCACGTGTGCGCTGACCGGAAGCCCGGCTCAGCGGCGACAGTGGTGCCCAAGCGCCGTGCCAAGGGCTGGCGCATGGCTTCTGTACTGCACGTGGCTTCGTCTTTGCACCCCAGAAGAGGTCCATCGGATACACGCAGGAGTGACCCTGGGCAAGAGTCACCTTTGACGCGCGGCTTAGAGGGGCCGCGGGGGTATGGCCAGGACCCCAGGTAAGGGGACCCGCTTAGTAGTAGGGCCCTGGAGCCCCTAAGTTGGCCAGGATCACTAAACCAGGTCTGCCGTAGCTGGGTTTTTTTCGGGTGGCGGCAGTTCCGGTTAGTGGAACGGGGCGGGGGGGCGTCCCCCAGTACACATCACTAAACCAAGTCCCACGAAACCCAGTTCTGCCAACGCCCGAGGGGGGGGTGGAGGCAAACCCAGGCGCGCAAGCCGCTGCCATCGCGTCACACACTCAGCGATCTGTGGGCCCGCACCGAAGGTCACTCTTGCGAAGGGTCACTCTTAATTGCAGTCATAACCAACAGCAAGAACGCACGATAAGGATGCAACGGCGTTGGAAGGCCTTGCCGTCGCTTCTCGAGCCGGGCGCGCCTGGCGAAAGTGGCCAAGGATGGTCCCAAAGGGGAAGGTTGCAAGGGCAGCCATAGAACATCGCTCATCCTTCATACCGGTATTGACTTTGCGTGTAGCCGAGTCCAAGAAGGCCCACCACGAGGACGGACAGCCTGGGCCCCTGGCGAGACGAACAAGCCTCGCGCAGGACATGTCCCGCCAACCTGTTGTCTTTCTTCATGTCCGGGCCCCGTTCGCGGGCCCTGGGCACACCGCACACACACAGAGGACTCATGACGAGAAGCCGGCCCCCAGAGAAGGGGTCACGGGCTGGGCGCCTCGCAGCGAGCCTCGGATGGTCGGGGGGGGGTCTCGGGAGGGGTGGGCGGGACCGGAGGGCCTGGCAGAACGAGAGGGCCTCGCGACCGTCGGGCAGTGGCCCCCCGCATCCGGGCGCCAGCCCCTGCGGGCAGAGGCGGGTCCACCCGCGTCCACCCCGGGGGCGGCGCGTCGCAGTGAGGGCGAGTGTGGGCGTGTGGGCCCCCAGGACTCCCAGCAGCCCTTTCCTCCTGCGGTGAGGGCATGGGACACGGAGGCATTGGCGGAGGAATCCAGGGACTGGAAACCGGTGGAGCTCCGATCGCGGATTGGCCATGGATATCATATCACCGCCGCCCTCGTTCGACAAGGAATGGCCCAGGGTCTGAAGGTCTTTCACCAAAGCCCCCCCCCCGTAATCTTTGCGGAACTGAGCACCTTTACGCCTGGGGGGAACGCCACCTGGGAACGCCTCCTTGGGGTTGGGTGCAAACTCGCCTGCAGCAGGTTCCATAGGCCCTCTTCCTCCCCCCTCTGCAAAAGAAAAATGACCGCGTGGCCGTAGATTTTCGGAGGTCAACGTGGCTCTCTTGACGGCGCTACGCCCCCCTCCCTGGCGCGCTCTGCGCGCCAGGGGCGGCGCGGGAGGCGCAGCGCCGCCAAGGGCCTCTCCAATACGCTGTTTCCCTCGGGATAAGAAGCGAAAGGTAAGGCGGCGGCGACGAACGCAGCGCGAGGCGGCAAGCGGGCCAACATGCTTCCAGAATGCACGCGCTGCGTTGACGCTTATCCTCGCCATGCGCTGCTAACTACGATTCTGCTTGCTACAGTGGGGGGCCAGAAGGCGCCGATACCGCTACTCCCCGGACCTCTCCCGGGGCGCGTTCTGACCAGGATTTCGAGGCGAATCCAGCGGTGGCGACGAGGGCCTCCCAGGAGGCCTCAGAAGGGCAAAGCGACGGAAGGGTAGCGGTATGGGTACCTGGCCCTCCTCTGATGCTCTCTTGCTTCGCAGGCCTGGCGCGCCTAGGGGGCCACATGCGAACCCTACCCCTACCCCCCACGATTTCTGAGGGGGAGGATGGGGTTCACTTCGCTCGGGAGCTCCCCAGCGAAGCGAACCTCCCCCCCTCAGAAATCGTGGGGGGTAGGGGTAGGGTTCGCATGTGGCCCTCTAGCGCCGCCCTCAGGCGTGCCTCCCGCCTGTCGGTCCTCAGATCCCCGCAGCGCCCCCGCAGGCAGAGACAGGTCCTCCTCCCCCTCGACCCCGGAGGCGGCGCGTCTGCTCCCGAGCCTGCCCAGGGCCTCTCCTCCGCCGCACGCCGTCCTTCCGTCCTCCTTCCTCCCCCCTACCACCTCTCCTGCCTCTCCTCCTCTTCCTGCTCCTCCTCCTCCTCCTCCTCCTCCTCCTCCTCCTCCGCCTCCTCCTCCTCCTCGCTCCCTCTCTCCCGCCTCCAGCGCCGCCCGGCCTCGTCCTCTTTCCTGCTCCTTGCACTTTCATGCTCCTCCCTTTCCTGATCCCCTCTCTTCCTCAACTTACACTCCACCTCGTCGCACCCCAAGACGTGCCGAAGAGGAAGTCTACTGTAGGATATTCCGACGAAGTAGCCACACCGAGCACGTGCCGAAGAGGAAGTCTACTGTAGGATATTCCGACTAAGTAGCCACGCTGAGCTAATCAGAGGGGCCACAGCTGTGGTATCCACACTTCGAAGGCACAGCCTGAGGGTAACGGTCACCACAGAGCCCAAGGACACTTTGCGGCCCGCGGCAGAGGCCGGCTTCCGCTTGCAGTGGGCTGCAAGGCCTGCTGCACTTGCAGAATATCAGCGCTCCCGCCTTGAGGACTGGACACCACTCACCACAAGGGGCACGGCAGGCTGGCGGCGACTGAATGACCAGTCCGAGCATCGCTGTCTTTGTCGTCGTCCGCATCGTCTTCGTTGCCCCCCCCGTCGTCGTCGTCGTCGTCGTCGTCGTCGTCGTCGTCGTCGTCGTCGTCGTCGTCGTCGTCGTCGTCGTCGTCGTCGTCGTCGTCGTCGTCGTCGTCGTCGTCATCGTCGTCGTCGTCGTCGTCGTCATCGTCGTCGTCGTCGTCGTCGTCGTCGTCGTTGTCTAGGGACAAGACCAGCAGAGCGGCGTCGCCCGCCGACGCCGATGGGGCTCGCAGGGCCTCCAGCGGAGAGTCCGGCGGCGGCACCGGCGCTGCCTCGGCGTCGGCCGCCGTTTCGGCAGGTGGGCTCTGCTGCGCGGCGGCGGGGGTGCCTGGGCGGTGCGGTGCGCTGTGTGCGCTGTGCGGAGCGCTCTGTGTGCGCAGCGTGTGCGTCTGTGCCGCTCTGCATGCGTGTGTGTGTGTGTGTGTGTGTGTGTGTGTGTGTGTGTGTGTGTGTGTGTATGCGTGTGTGTGTGTGCGCGTGTGTATGTATGTGTGTGTGTGTGCGTGTGTGCGTGCGTGCGTGCGTGCGTGCGTGCGTGCGTGCGTGCGTGCGTGCGTGCGTGCGTGCGATTGTGTGGGTGCGCCGTGTCTGTGTGCTGTGATGCGTGTGTGCGTGCGCTGCGTTGGCTGTGTATGGAGGGGAACCGTCATAGATTTTATGCGTGCGTGTCTGAACTCGCCCATGTCGGCACACCCCTCGCACGCTTCGTGTCCACATAGTGACGAACAAACAACCCGCAAACACAAACGCACACACACACATACACACCCATATCCATAGGGGGGGCGGCGGGGGCTACGGGCGCGTGTTGTCGGATGAGGGTCCCCGCTCGAATGGGAGCGTCCCCAAGGGTCCTACAACCCGCACCCATGCCCATAGCCAATCTTCCTCCCTCTGACCTCCCCATGGGTATGGGTGTGTGTGTGTGTGTTGTTCATCCGTCATAGTGGGCTCCTCCTACGGCCCCAGTGGGCATGGACGCGTGCCGCCGCCACGTCCATGTCGGCACACCCCTCACGCGGTGCGCGCCCCTCTGGGGAGCTGGACGTACCTCCGTGGGGATCGGTCGCATGCCGCTCCCCGCCCATTCTGGCCTTGACCGCCCCGATACGCAACACGTAACCCGTAGCGTGTTGGCACGGAACCCAGAACGTAGACTCAAATAGCGTACGCTTGGCACGATACGTTCACCAACACGTAGGCCAACACATTGAGCCCATGCGCGACGAGTCAATACGGACGTTTTGAAGATGGTGCGTGCTCCGGTTCAAAACGGGCGCATCGGAGCAGCTGAGATTCTGGCACAACCCGTCTGTGCCCCCCCCGCTAGGAGCTCCACGTACGCCCCCCGTGACGCCGACGGGAACCGCCGCCTGCCGACTTCGACGCGCCCGTCACGAGCATCCCATGCCCGTCGGCCGGAAGAGCTAGGTAGAAACATGAAGTAGGAAGGCGTCGGAAGTAGATTGAGCTTCCGCTCGCCACCCAAGAATGAAGATAAAGGAGAGCCCACTCGAACATTGAGGTAGGAAGGCGTTGGAAGTAGATTGGGCTTCCGCTCGCCACCTAAGGATGGAGAGAAAGGAGAACCATTCGACCATTGAGGCAGAAAGGCGCCCAAAGCAGATCGGAACCAGCGAATCCCAGACTACCTGCTTCCTTCCAGCGACCGACGACTAGAGATCCCCACCCGCGGTGTCTCAGCGGGAGCGTCCGCCGGCGGGCCCCCGCCCCTGTCGGCACACACCCCTCACCCACGCGCCTCGTGCAGAGCCCCGCCTGCTGCCCGACTGGGCACTCGGCCGAACGTACGAGCGACCCTCGGCAAGAGTGGCCTTTTTGGCGCGCGGCTGGCCAGCCGTGGCCTGCGGTGCGACAGGTGGCGGCCTGCGTGCTGGGGCCTCGCCCCCGGGAGCGCCCCCCCCCCCGAAAGCCGCGCACCCACCAAGGCGCACTCCGGCGAAGGGCCCTCTCCATCGCTCGGACGTCCATTCCCTGTGTTTTTTTCGGTTTCGTGCGTGGCTTTTTCGCCAAATGATCAAGGATGCTCCTCGATGGTCCTCGCCGAGGAAAAAAACGCACACGTCCGAGCGATGCCAGGGGGGCCACTCTCACGTGCCGCCGAGCGGACGTCCTCGCGTGCGGCCCCGCGCAGGGTCCGGGCACGCCCGCCCCCGAGACCTCGCCCCGCGCTCAGGGAGCTCCGCGTGCCGCTGGCTGCGCGCCAGCTCCGCAGGCCGTCTGCCCGCAGCGCGCCGAGCGCCATCGCTGCCGCGCCGCACTGTGACGACGTCCGCTGAACGCAGCTGCACACGGCTGGAGTCTTCGCCAGGCTGGTTGTGCTAGCAGCCGGACCTGGGCCCAAGAACAGACCTCAAGAGCACGAGACCCTCTGCCAGCCAAACCGAAGAACCTTCGAGGGTGCCCTCCCCATCGGACCTCCAGCAGACAGGAAGAACATGAGGACACCTTGCCCGAACTGACCTCGATCTCATGCCTCGGCCCGGCTGTGATGACGCCCGCTGCACGCAGCTGCAAAGGGCTGGGATCTTCGCCAGGCCAGCTTTTGGCTATCGGTGCCGCGCGCCTCCTTCCAAGCGGCGGCCTCGCTCGTCGCATCTGCTCTTGGAGGACGGCACAGAGGGCCAGGTCCGGGCGGCGTGCGTTGGCTGCTCAGGAGGAGGAGGAGGAGGCGGAGGAGGAGGAGGAGGAAAAAGAAGATCGAGCGAACATGAGGAGGAGATATCACCTCTCCGTCTGCTTCCTGCTCCCTCCTTCCGCCCGCCCCCCTGTTCCCTGTATCCTCTCCCCTTTCCATCCCAGACCTCCTCCAGACCCACGCGGGGCAAAAGCTGCAAGTTCACCTTGTCGCACAGGCGGGAGCTTATACCTGCACGCCAGAGAAGCCCTGGCGCCTCCCACCTCTGCGCTCGCTGGACCGAATACCCAGGATGGCTGGAGTCAGGCCCAGGAGCAACCCTCCTCTCGCCCTCCCGCATCCCTACTCCTTCCATGCATTATCTCTCCTTCCTCCTGCCGCCTGCCCCCTTGTTCCCACCTTCTCCGGCCTCACTCATCCCTCCATTATCCTTGCCTGCTCCTCCTCAGGAAAATCAGCAAAATCAGAGAAGTCGAATTAGCTGTCCAGCACAGCTCAACAACAGACAAAGTGACAACTTCTAAGCTCCTGGTCGTCCCCCTCTGGCCGCGCCTCCCTGGACTTCCACCCCACTCAGTCCTTGAACCCGTCGGAAGTCCTGCACAAAAGAAGTCGGCTCTATGGGCACGGGTTCCTCCTCCTCCTCCTCCTCCTCCTCCTCCTCCTCTTTCTTCTCCTCTTTCTCGTCCTCCTCCCTCCCTGCACCTCCTCGCTGCGCCAACGGGCGCGGCTGCCTGCGGCGTCCGCGGGCCTTGCGCCAGGCTCCCGCGCCTCGCCCACGGGCACTGGCAGCTCCTGGGGCCAGCAGGGCGGCGCACGACAGCGTTTTTTGAAGGAGAACTGGGACACGCAAATAAGTGGACACAGATAACCAGATTCCCTGCATTTTCCAATATTTTCTGGGTTTCTGTCTTCCCCCCCACTTCCTATATTTTCCCATATTTTCTGGGGAATCGACGATCCATTGTGTCTGTGTGTTTTTTCCCGCTCCTGATTTTCTTCCAGAACTCAGCGCCCCCCTGAGCAGTGGCGGCCTGGGCAGCGCTGGGGCACTGCAGCGGGGCGCTGTGCCCAGATCGGCCGCCAGCGGCGACGACGCCACGACGGCCCACCGCTGCGGGAGCCGGGCCGGGCCGGCCTGGTGGACGTCGTCAGCCCTGCACTTCGTGCCGGTGCGCACTGCTCGGGGCTGATCGGGTGGCCACGGAGCGAGCTTCTCAAGCGCCGACGCTCGTTGAGGAAATCGGTCGGCCCGGGACCCGCTTCGGACGATGTCGTCAGAGCTGCGGGCACAGAGCACCGGAAGAACGACAGCGGAGGCGTCGGCGGCCGGAGGCACAACGCTGCCAGCCCGATTGCGTCGGCGGCTGGGGGCGGAGCCGCCGACTCTCTCAACTGGCCTCTACTGGGGGAGCAACAGCAGCACAGTCGAAGCATGGCAGCAATGACGTGGGCCAAGAACATGCAGCCCCTTCGCCGATGACCCAAGGCACCATGGAGGTGCCCCTAACGAAGAAATCTCCAGGGTGACAAGCCCGAGCACGAAAATTCAGAAAGGTACCCCTCCAGTGCCAGATGCACCAGTGACACACCAACGTGGGGAACCCATAAGCGTGCTACTGTTGAAGAAACCAGGTCTCAGTCCCAAGACAGAAACGGAAGAGAAATACTAGAGACCTCCCAGATGGGCTCAGAGTAGATGGGGTCGGAGAATCTCGCTCGCCGCGTCGCCGATGCATCGTCGATGCATTGGCGATGCATCAGCGACTTCGGCGATCAAACGGCGACGTCCGCGTGGAGAAGATCGGGCTCAGTATCGAGCAGCATCGCCGATGCATCCGACCCCATCTGCTCCGACCCCATCTCCACCGACCCTAGAGCCGCACCCAGCAGCACACGGAGAGCACCCCAACTGCCCCTCCGGGCGCCCCCCGGAGACTCCCCCCACGAAGCCACTCCATCCAACGCCGCCCTCCCCTGCCACCCTGCCCGGCTGAGCCGGGCGCGCGCCGTCGGCACGGGCCTCGTGGGCCGTCTGGAGGCCCTCTCGGGGCCGTCGTGGAGGCCTCCTGGGGCGTCGTGGGGTCATCTTGGAGGCCTTTGGGGTCATCTTGGGGCGAGCTTGGGGGCCTTTTCGGCCGTCTTGGGCTCCCCCAGCGGGGGTTTGGCGGCGCGCAGGGAAAGCCCCGTCGGCCCGTGGCGCCCGCCTCTGGCTCGTCTGCCCTGCTGTTCCCGGGCGGATGCCCGCAGGGAGCACGGAGAGCCGCCTGGACAAGGGGCTGTCGCCAGAGAAGTCTTGAGGAGGCGGGACAGCGAGGAGGGAGAAGACGGAGGAGGAGGCGGAGGAGGGGAAGGGATAGGGGAACGAACGCTGACATTACTCCGACGGTAAGACCCCGCATGATAAGTTGTTTAGCTTGCCCTTAAATCTCCCCCGTCGCCCTCACGGACATCCTCCCCTCGCCCTGAGCTCGGCTTTCTCCTCCTCCTCCTCCTCCTCCTGCTCCTCCTCTCCTCCTCCTCCTCCTCCTCCTCCTCCTCCTCCTCTCCTCCTCCTCCTCTCTCCTCCTCCTCCTCCTCCTCCTCTCCTCCTCCTCCTCCTCCTCCTCCTCCCTCCTCCTCCTCCTCCTCTTCCTCCTCCTCCTCCTCCCCCTCCTCCTCCTCCTCCTCCTCCTCCTCCTCCTCCTCCTCCTCCTCCTCCTCGCCCTTCTATCCTTCTCCTCCTCCTCCTCCTCCTCCTCCTCCTCCTCCTCCTCCTCCTCCTCCTCCTCCTCCTCCTTCTCCACCTCCTGATCATCGTCCCCCCTCTACCTTTTCCCCCCCCCCCCTCATCCTCTTCCTGCCGCTTCTCTATATGCACCTCCCCTTCCCCCTGTCGGGGCAAGCGTGTCGATTTGCCTAGGCGCCGTCGCCGCCTCGGCTAACGCGCGCGCGTTCGCCGACGGCTAGATCGCGAAGCCTTTGGGGCAGCCCCGCGGGCCATGCCTTTGGGGCAACCCCGCGGGCCGCTGGGGCGCGAGGCCAGGCCGTCGGGACAACCCGGCGAGCCAGACCGTCGGGGCAACCCCGCGGGGCTCCAGCTGCGCGCCGCGGCGCTCAGGCGGGAGGCAGCACGAAGCCAAGCTCCGCGGCGAGCTGCTCGGCCTCACCCCTTGAAGTCTTCACTTGCCCATCGAACTTCTTGAGCGCCTCCCGCAAGGACACAGGCGGCCCGCGCTCCAGAGACTCGCGCGAGCGCGGCCGCGGGACCAGCATGTTCCGCACGCGCGCGGCGCAGGAAAACATGACGTAGAGGTGCAGCCACCGCTGCTCGTCCGACATGCCCGTGCGGCCAGCGTCCTCGTCCCTCGTGCAGTCGATGATGACGCCCTGGCGGCAGCGTCTAGCCCTGCGACAGCGTGTAGGTCAAGTAGGACGCGCGCGTCAGGGTGAACCCCGAGTGGCGCAGAGCGTGCGTCCCCGAGCTCTGCCACATAAGCTCCTGCTTGCTGGGCCTGAACATGAACAAGCTCCTCGCCCGCGCCTTGGCCTCGCCGTCGTCGTCGGTGCCATCTGTCGCAGCAGCTCGGCGAAGTCGTGGTAGATCGGAGACTCCTTGAAGCCGTGGACCTGCAGCCAGATTCCCTGCGGTAGGTAGTGGGGGCGGCAGAGCTGGCCTGGCGCGCGCTCCTCGTAGTCGCGCTCGTCGTTTGCGTGAAACCCGAAGGACACGATGGTGGCCCGTTGCTACCACACGAGCCCCAACTTCTTTTTTAGCTCCTCCTGCGCAGCCATGAACCGAACCTCCATGCCGACGTGTGCTGGAAAGACGCCATGGATGTCCCCCCTCTTTTGCATGTTCGGGACATTCAGGAGGCGCTGGCCCGCGTCTGGGTTCCGATGACCCGCTCGGAATAGCAACGTGAAATGCGGAACCCATAAGCAGAAGGCTCTCGCCTGAGACTTCCTCGCAAGTCACTTACAGACGAAGATCCCGCCTGAGACTTCCTCGATATTCAAGCCCCAGGAGCCCGAAAGTGACGACAAATACAAGTTTTCGGATGGCCCACCTCGGATTACCAACATGAGGTGAGGGCCCCATAGGGAGGGCCTCCCGCCGCAGACTTCCTCGCAATGTTCTCACAGGCGAAGCTCCCGCTTGATACTTCCTCCAAATTCACGCCTCGGGAGCCCCAAAGGGACGACAGTTACACGTTTCGGATGACCCGCCTCGGATTCGAACACGAAGTGCGGGCCCCATAGGGACGGGCCCCCGCCTGAGACTTCTTTGCAATCCACTCACAGACGAGGCCCCCGCTTGATAATTCCTCCAGGTTCACCCCTCGGGAGCCCAAACATGACGACAGTTACACGTTTCGGATGACCCGCCTCGGATTCGAACATGGAGTGCGGCCCCCCCCCCAAAAAAAAAATGCTTCCCGCCTGAGTATTCCTCGGTATCCACTCACAGACGAAGCTCCCGCTTGATACTTCCTTCAGATTAACGCCTCACGAGCCCAAAAGTGACGACGGTTACACGTTTCGGATGACCCGCCTCGGATTCGAACATGAAGTGCGGGCCCCATGGGGGAGGGGCTCCCGCCTGAGACGTCCGCGCAATTCACTCACAGACGAGGCTCTCTCTTGGTCGATGATCATGATGGGATGGTGACGATGATGATGCTGATGGGATGATGACGATGGGGTGCGATGGTGATATATGGTTGATGATGAGGACAATTATGATGAGGATGGTGCTGATCGTGATGATGAATGAGAATGGCGATTGTGGTGATTATGAGGATCATGATGGTGATGATGATGAGTGGATGAGTGAGTGACCGAGCGAGAATGGTAGTGATGATCAGGATGATGCTGATGGTGATGATGATGATGATGATGTTGATGTTGATGATGATGATGATGATGATGATGATGATGATGATGATGATGATGATGATGATGATGATGATGATTGATGATGACGGCGAGAGAGAGGAATAGAGAGAGAGAGAAAGGGGGTGTGGGAGGACTGCGCGGGGTGTCCAGAGAAAACAAGAAACCCACTGAGGATGTGGGGAATAAACATAAAATCTCGAAGGTCCGCAGGGATTACTTGGAACGGCGCTGGACCTCCGAGCTGTTATGCTTATGCCATTCTTCGTTCCCCTAAGGGAGGAGGAAAAGGCTGAGGAGGAGAAGGGAGGAGGAGAGCCCGCCCAGGCGAACACCGAGGATCACAAGGACCCGCCCTCACCTGTAAGGCTGCACGAAGGAGGGGAGGAATGTGGACCGAGCCTCGAAACCGCATCCGAACAACAAGCTGAACCAAACGGTTAGTGCTACGCGGTTGCTGGAAATAGTACAAGCACGTGGAGTATTCGAGGTCGTCCTGATACTCATCAAATCGTGACTGGATGCCCTGGTTGCCGAAGTCTGCGTCGATGGTTCGTTTACCAGGGACCTCAAGATTTACAACCAAGTATCTCAAGGAAGAAAGCTTCGATCCCCGCTTTGGTTCCTACATTGATGATGCTCGTACATTAATCCACGTCGCTGGTTTCGTGGAGACCGTCTTTGCGGATGACCTCAAGTATTGGCGAACGTATCCTGGAGTGCGTGGCAATGCAGGCATCCACCGTGAATCTACGGCGTGCCGGGCTGCTCTCCACAATCGGGGGGCCGCTGATCAAAGTGTGTTTGGGCAGGACCAGGAAAGCTTCCGCTTTCTGGACGCCATCTCGCCAGACGGTGGATCTTTCGAGATGCTCGGGGTGCTCTTCGATACCAAATTTGCTATGTACCGAGCTGTGTCA